ATTTGGATTTTGCATTTAATTTAATAGAATTTTTCACTGTGCATGTGGGGCGGGGGCATAGTCATTCTGCAGGGCTTGAGAATTTAACTTGAACCATGGTTTGGTCCATCAGTCATATACTTGTAACAGGAAACACATGGTGGAAGTGGGACGAAGGAATATTAAGTGAAAGAAAATGCTGAGGGATTCCCACAGTGTATACAGAATTTTCTAAGATAGAATCACTTGGTTAGGTTGTTCAGTAACTGCTTTTTCTAGTTTCATGTATAGGTTTCATATCTCAGATTTCATCAAAGAACTAATTATTGCACCTTATGTTCTGGTAATTTATGTGCTTTTCAGATTTGAATGTGCTTTTCAGATGACTATGGTGTGCTAGAAAGAAAATTAAAAGTCTGAATCATTTAAAATGCATTAGTCAACATTCTCTGTAGGTTTAGAAAATGGGGCATAATTTCTGGTGAGTGTATAGGATACAAGTGGCTCTTGACTGGCTGACAAGCATCATACATTGGATGGTTTGACTTTATCTCAGGCAATAGGGTTGTGTTTCTTATGCCTTTTTGTTTCATTGCTATTTTGACTCATCTTTGCTGGACACTGACCTTCTCAACGTAATTGGTTGAATTGTACATAGCCTATATCCTCATTTATGTAGATTTTTTTTACACAAGATGTAATGATGCTCCAGAGGAGCTTACATTTTATGCTGAGCGCCTAATTGGACACCTTTTACCAAGATTTCTTTATTCAAAGAAGCAACAAGATGTTTTATCAAATTTTAGGGGTATGATAAGGTTTCTTGATTTTAATAGAGGAGGGGTTTGTGCAATGCACCATTCAAAGATGTTATATATTAGCCTTTGTGGCCAATGTTGCTTTAGGTTTAGGGATTCTTGGGGTTGTAATCCCCAAAAGTAACTCTTTCAAAAAATTGTTTGACTTTTTATAATATAGGGAGTTTGTATGGTGGGTTTGCTGATTTTTAGGTGTTGGGTTAAATTTAACTTATGTTGTTTTCTTTCATCTTTTGATTGCATTCTTATTGCAGTGGTGGCTTTTACCAATGATTTCCTTTGTGAACTTTGTAAACCAGGGGTAGGCAACCTTTCCCCTTTAAAGGCCGAGGGACTTCAGCTCCCAGAAGCCTCAGCCATGTTGGCCAATAGTCCCATGTTGGCCAATAGCTCCTGGGATTCTGGGAGCTGAAGTCCCTTGGCCCTTAAAGGGGAAAGGTTGCCTACCCCTGGTGTAAACAGTCAACTCCAGAGAATAAGATATGTTTTCTTTAAATGGCCAGCCCATATTGGTGAAGGAAAATGCTGGCTTTCAAAACTGCTAGGAGGTTTTCCACCGAAGAATGCCAAAACAAGTAATTCAGAACTATAAATTGGTTAAAAATATAAATATTTTACCATTGGTAAAATATTGCCTAGTAGTAGTACTGTTTCATAAACAACTCATTGACCACTTTGGGAGGATTCTTCCCAAAGCAGGATTTAGTGCATGCAGTGTCCTTATAACAGGGGATATTAGTAGTCTTCAAAACTTGCTACTACAGGATGTGGTGAAGGCAGCTAAAGATGGCCTTTAAAAAGAGGGTGAATCTATCAGTGCTATGAGTCACAGCGATTTAATTAAAAAAAATTATACACAAGCAATTACCAGTATATATCTGATATTGGGGTTCAGACTGGCAATGTAAGGGCAATGTTGCCTTCGAAAGAAAGACCCTAAAGTAGGGTTATAGTTTTTATAGCCTACTTCAAGACTTCTCCATAACATTTCTTTGCCCACTGTTATAGATGATTAGCATTGCAAAATGAACACAAGCTAGGGCCACATATAATTTCAAGCTAGAGTTGATTTCTTGCTCTGGGTTACTGTGGATGTACTGTGTGCTAATGCACAAAGTTTTATCACTGCTGCTTTGCACTTATATTCAAGATGGTGGCTAAAACAAAAGAGAACTTGAAATCTAAGCATGGTCTCCTCTAATCTATTGTCTCCAAACAATACAGGATTCTTAAAACAAATATTAATATTTGTTTCATAGAGATGGGAATTTTGGAGCCATGGAGGGAAAATATTTTTCAGTATGATTTGAACAGCTTCACAAATGAGGCAGAATTTACTGTTGGCTTAAATTATTTTCTCCT